TATATATATATATATATATATGTATCATCATTTAGGTGATTACAATTGGAAAGATGGTAAAGTATCTGGAGCTATATACAGAGTTGATACTAATCTCTTACAATTAATGGGAGATATTTATAGCATTGCGTCATACACAAATCCATTACATCCCGATGTTTTTCCTGGTATATGCAAGATGGAAGCAGAAGTAGTTAAAATAGCTTGCAATTTGTTCCATGGGGATAATGCTTCTTGTGGTACTGTAAGTTGTTTTCATCCTTAAACATTAATAATAATAAATATGCAAAATAAAATAAATACAAAATTTAAAATATAATAAGATGTTTTCAGATGACTAGTGGTGGTACAGAATCAATTTTATTGGCATGTAAAACATACAGAGATTATGCAAGACATGTAAAAGGTATAAAAAATCCTGAAATAATAATGCCAGTAACAGCACATTCTGCTTTTGATAAAGCTGCTCAGTACTTAAAACTTAAAGTACGTTCCGTACCTGTTAATCCACATAGTTATACCGTTTGTATTAAATCTATGGAAAAAGCTATTACAAGAAATACAATAATGGTAAGAAAATTATTTTTAGGATTAGGATTCCAATGAATATATTAGAATTAATATAGCTATAATAGTTAATAGGTTCAGCACCAAATTTTCCATATGGAACAATGGATAATATTCAAGCAATCTCTGACTTAGGAGTAAAGTACAACATCCCTGTTCATGTCGATGCTTGTCTTGGTGGATTTTTAATATGTTTTATGAAAGATGCAGGCTTTGATATATCACCTTTTGATTTCAAACTTCCTGGAGTCACAAGTATATCAGCTGATACACATAAAGTATATAAATAATATTTAAACTATTGTACAGTATACCTCTATTTCTAATTATTTTATTAATAATACAAGTTTATTTTTATATTTTTTAGTATGCTTATGCTCCAAAAGGTTCTTCACTTATTCTTTATAAAAATAAGAAGATAAGACATTATCAATATACCATAACTACTGATTGGCCTGGTGGTATTTATGGCTCTCCAACTGTAAGTGGTTCAAGAGCTGGTGGAGTCATAGCATCATGTTGGGCTACATTAATGTATTTTGGTTATAATGAATATTTAGAATCAACAAAAAAAATTATAAAAACTACCAGATATATTGAACAGAGGTATATATTTTAAATTTTTATCAGAAATTTCATAATAATCAAATATTGAAATTTTTATAGATTGAGAAAATTAAAAGGAATTTTTATTTTTGGTACACCTGCTACATCAGTTATTGCATTAGGATCAAATGATTTTCATATTTATAAACTTTCTGAAGCTTTAAATGCAAAAGGATGGAATTTAAATACACTTCAATTTCCTTGCGGTGTACATCTTTGTGTTACATATGTCCATACACAGTCAGGTGTAGCAGATCAATTTTTAAATGACGTTGAAACTGAATTAGTAGAAATTTTAAAAAATCCAGAAACTCCTATTGAAGGAAAGGTATATATAAAACAATTCAATAAATCAAATAAAATTATTATAAAAGTTCTATAAATAATATGTTGTAAATAATAAATATTCTTTTTCAGTTTGCAATTTATGGTATGAGCCAGAGTATACCAGATAGAAGTATCGTTGGTGATTTTGCAAAATGTTTCTTAGATTCCATGTATTTTACACCTGAAAATCAATCAATTAGCAATGGTCCAAGTATTTAAAGTGATTGGATTATTATAAT